TCTTGAAATTTTTTCGAACCTCACGTATTCTTCCCAACTAATTTGACTACCTTTCTGGCTGTACGCCACGAGACATTTGGTTGTAAGTGTATTATTTAAAGTTTGCTAATCATGCCACATTATAGAACGTGTTTCTGTCCAAATCTACTTATTCACGCCGTTTCTACGTAAGAACAGACATTAATTAACCCACCACAGACGATTTAATCTAGGCAGGCTATAAAGCGGTTAGGTAAAACAGACATAGTGGGAAATAACTGAACGGGCCAACAGTCGGCGGTCCACAATAGTGAGTTGCAAATATATCAGCTGGTTCACCAGCATGTCATTGAGGTGACTCAATCAGTGCTGGCTCCCACACTATTCACACCGCAACCCCCAATTCAAGACACACAACACTTTATCGATGTGGCTGTTGTTCTAAAGTCGGATAAAATAGGCTTGAGAACGTAGTACCAAACTGTTTTTTAGGCGAACTACACTCCATTATATGAAAAACGGCACTAAATGACCAATTCCTTTGTAGTTGGAGTTAACAACAAGTAATCTGTCAAGTCGAAACTGGCAGAGAACAAAAAGTACAGCGTGTTTCGCTTTCGCTTCATGGATTGTCACGCAAGGTCATGTAAGGTCAGGGCGTCTGTCAACGTTAGCAGCGAAGGCGTCTAACGTTGGCACGGCAGGGTGCTCAAAAGTGGTGGACAGAAACATCATTGATGCCGGCTGCATACCCACTCTCTGACCTACCATTTGCCTCCCTATTGTTCATTGGCTCCCTGTGATCAGTATAATTTATCTTCTGTAGGGCTTAACAGAACTACCTTTTCACCATGTCATTCCCTCCCCTGGCCGGACCTGTCCCCCGGTGCCTTGGGGTTTTCTCTCGATCTCCGCCAGCAGCCGCATAGCGGCGCGTAATATTTAGCAGAGTGACCTTACCGGCATTAATCACTCTCCCTTGTCATTGTCGGTAATGCCATTCCAACATAAAGTTAGATCCATGGACCTCAAGATGAGTACTGATTAGTCATCATCTTCGCCTTTGGACGCCTCCAACCATGGTGATTTCTCATTCAACTAGGCTAGCAGTGCTTAGGTGGAGAAAAGCCATACTGTTTTCAATCTGAATAGATTAGTCACCAAAATCCACGTCTAAACGTATTCGACCGACTGATCTCTCCTATTTGGCGTTCCGGTTGTCTGTCCAAACGACAGATTAGCTGCACAAATTAGTTCATAAAAAAAATTCGGCGAGAATCGGATATGTAAGTCCACTGAGCAAACAGAACCCAGGGACTTCTGTAATTCGGGAAGGGTGTCAGTTGTAGTTTTATCATGCGTGCTTATGGACGCGGAAATTAACGGAATCGCGGGAGGCATTTAGAAACCTCGCTTTTTCTCATATGCTTGCTTTATTACGTTAAGGGGGGACCGAAACGGACTACCCAATTGGAAATATGCGA